GATGTCCGCGATGGGTTTTAGACATTGTTCACGTCTTCACCAGCGCGTCATATTTGTCAAGCCATCTTATTCTCCCATACTAATTTTGGTTCACACCAAGTTAAGGGAGTGATCACGAGAGCACTCAGACATAGGTGGCTAGATAGATAGATAGATAGATAGATAGATAGATAGATAGATAGATAGATAGATAGATAGATAGATAGATAGATAGATAGATAGATAGATAGATAGATAGATAGATAGATAGATAGATAGATAGATAGATAGATAGATAGATAGATAGATACGCAAATAGACTCCAACAGTATTTGAGTACGTAACGAAATGCTTCAAATTTAGAATTGCGTCAAATAAAATGGTAATTGTAAGAAGACATAGAAATTTCGGCATATAGGTAGCAGATGAATTGGCAAAAGAAAAGCGTTAGAATTCAGAGAACGAATTAATCTTTCAATGTAGAGAGAACCCATCAAAACTAATTTAGAAAAAGAAATGAAATGAAATTCTCATTGGAAACAACGAATGCCACAAAGTAACTCTTACATATAGAGGGTTGGATTTCCCCAAGTTATCAGACGCCGAAAGGAATCGTAGCAAATAATAAGTCATAACTATTAACAGGACAAGCTAGGTTCCCACACTTCCTACAGAGGTTTCAAATACAAAGTAATAATCAATTTTTATGCAGTTGATCAGCTAGAAATTTGAGTCATTACTTGACAGAATGCACTTCTCTGTTCCACATCAGACACAGTGAGTGCTCCCGTGGCCTAATCAGGTCAGCGCATTCATTGCATCACGCAACTTCTATGTCCAGTGCCATACATGGTAAATCTCAACAATTGTGAAGATATGGTGGTGCCGCTTGCGTTCTCGAGCAAGAGACTTCTCAAGGCTTACGTCTTGGGTTCCTTGCAAGTCTTAATGCGCTGCAACTTTATTAACAATTCTATTCAGCACTCAATCACTGGACTTGTAAGTTTGTATCTGTGTTTATTATTATCAATCTGTATCTACAGCTGTATTTTTCTATAAAAGTAATTCTTGAAATAAAATGTATTCCAGTATCTGTATTCTTGTGTCTGCCATTAGAGATAACTTTTTTTTGCCCATGCATTCCCCAAATATCATTTTATGTCGAATTCAAGTATGTACAAGATACTAATGCATCTATTTTGGTACCCTTTTTTCGAAATACTTTTCTGGCTATCAATAAACAGTACTGCTAAGATGTCACAGCAGGTGTCAAAAAGCAGAAAGCGGGACCACAAGTACAAAGGGACGGAGAGAGAAATGATTACAAAGCAACGCACTCGTGCAAAAAAATAACTACACACGCAGAGCCATATATCCTAGAGCAGGGGAGAAAAAGAATCGAGGGTGAGGGGAAGTGAAAGCATGCTCTGAGAAGTTAAAGTACTGCAAGGTTGTGTATAATATGGTATAAAAAGATGTGGGAAGGAGAAGTCAGGTTTAGCAGGATGGAAGGAGACGATGGCAGCACGATATGTCCACCGTTTTCTTAGTCGTTGCACTATATACACCAGAACACAGCGAGCTCAGTGCTCGCTGCCATATTGAAAAGCGCGTGGTGCCATCTGTTCCAAGCACGGTGAAACAACACCCTTAACTGTCACGAGAGCAGACGCTCTCGAAATAACCGCAAAACTTCACTACCCGAGTCCAGCTGTAAGCATGTTTCGCGCTGTTACTTTGCTGGAAATTTGTGCTCATTTCGTGTGAATGGTCGGACTGTCGTGTTAAACGCCGGACTTTCGGGGAGACCTTCCTCAACAGTCTGGAATGTCTGTAGCACGTGCATTGCAGACTGCTGAAGCAACTACCTCAGGTATACGTTACTTGACTGAAAAAAAAACGTGAACAGCGGAAAATGTTAACTCAAGCGTGCCTTGGCTGTGACGAGGCAGAATTTGTGCTGTAAGGCAGCATCAACGTAGCGCCAGAATCTGGCTCCAACTTACGCTCATGCACCGCACGTTTATCAATTGCCAGTCCTGCCGGGCACTCGGAACACACACACAGTGCAAAAGTGCCAGCCAGAACAAGATTTTAAAACACTACGGTGACATAGGCCGGAAGCACAAGTAGATTAGCCTAAGGACAATCAAGGAATGCCGTAGTTCCACCGATCCGAATGCCATCCGTGCCGTTCACGTCTCTTTCCATTGCCATAGTTGGCCATTACGGTTGTACTAAACATGCACGATGCATGCATCCACGCGTGAGTCGCCATACGCATATTTTTTACTGACATGCGGCCTGCGAAAGAGTACGGCAATGGTGTCGTGCCGTATACTACACGCATACTTCACGCCAATTCCTGCTGTAATGTGGAACAGCTGAATTCACACTTGAATAGACGCAATAAATTAACGTACTCGTACACTTTACTGGGCTCGTAGTTGTCCTGTCTATTGCGATCATATCGTAATGCGGCGGAGCTCAGCATTTTTTCGTTGCGGACGGAAATCTGTACAACTGTAAAACACCGCACTAGCATGATTCCCACGTTGCGGTGTAAACTTTACAGGCATTGTTCAGCAATCTCTTCCTCTTGCACTGCTTGTTGTCACATCAGATGACAGCGCAGTGGTACCCAGATGACATTTTATAAGCGGGCGTAGCGTAAACAGGCGCGTTTTCACCTTTTAAACTCCCAGAGCCACTGCTTGCTAGCGAGGAGCGCCTTGGCAGTTGCAAACAAATTATGGCGTCTCTGATAGCGAAGGTGTACCGCCGAAGGCGCCTGGTTGCGAGATAAAGGTGCTCTCCTCTATATAATTAGCACGTAAAGGCCTAAATTTTTGGTAAAGTTCAACGTAACCGTCTCTATACTGTACACTCTCGTACAATATTGTACAAGATGCCATATGCAAGGCAGGCCCAGGTTGCAATTTGAAGGTACTTCGCACCAGTTTGGCTAATATTCAGGCTGGTTTCGGCTGCCAGATAACTAGGCTTCTTGGCTGCTATCTGGCTGCTTTCTTGTTTTCTCGGTTTCAACAGGGCTCTTATTTCGTGGTGACACAACCGCTGGTGCTTTTTTTTAGTACGTGGTCTCCAAACATGGCAGACAACGCGTGTTAAAACTCCAAAAATGCCCGTATTTGACGTAGCCACGGTAACCACGGAACAAGCGCCCTTGTAGCGGGACAGGCGCCGAACACATTCCTTTATCCCGAAGCATTCGGTTCTCCCGATACCGTCTTCTTTGTCCTTACCAAGCCTGACCAAAGGGTGGTGGGCTTCACAAGAAAATTCGAAAGGCCGATAAAAGTAGGCACCTGCATTACACAAAAGAGGAGACATTGAGACGACAGGCGTAGACTCAAGAAGTGTTCTGTTGGCGCTAATTCTCCAAACCATCGATTACTGAACACGACATTAAACATTACTTGGAAGTGAAGAGGACAATCTAAATCCATCGGCATGGAATGTGTTCTCTACGCACTGACATGCGAAAACGAATACAGAGAGAACCACTTAATTGAATTTTTAAGATTTTGGCGCAGTTTGAAGCTCAAAAGGCACAACTAGTCAGATTCTGTAAACACGCACTTCATGATACCAAAATTAACTAATGTATGCATTAATCGTGGCGGCTTACTTGTATTGTTGATACATGCCTCTTAGTTCTCGTTTTCGCAAAAAATACCATGCTAAACATGTGGAGCACGTGTCAAAATAAAGTCTTAAAGTGAGCTTCGTCGTGTGTTTGTTGCTTGAGTACGTACGCGATTCAAGGAATCAAAACTTGGAGCGCAGATGTTTAGCGTTTGATGCATACGCAGTGGCACCAAACGTATATATGGAGCTGCGCATAACAATATTATAAAACCGATGGCAAGCTTCATCATCGAGCACAGAATGATTGGTAAAACTCGCGGTTTATTCTTTAGGCTTAGAAATTAAGACTATGAAAAGTGCTTGATTATTTATTTGCAAAAAACGTATACAACAGCTGCATCTTACCACAATTTCCCTACTGAGAAGAAACCTAGAGGCTCAAAAAGACAGTTCAAGTTAAATTGAGGGTGACGCAGTGATTACGCAAAGGAAGGTGATGATTGTAACCTTAAAAAAAGAGAGTAGAGGAGGTGACAGATAAAAACGGGTTGTCAGGATATCATAGTCGTAATCAAGAAGGAATAGACATGGGCCGGGCACGTGGAGTATAGAAAGAATAACCGCTGGTCATTGAGGTTAGCTGTCTGGGTTCTAAGACAAAGCAAAGGGATGTGGAAAACTGAATGTTATTCGGGTTGGTGAGATTGATAAGATTTTGAGTAGAACGTGGCAAAAGCCACTAAAGGACCACGTGTAATGCCGGACATGTTCGAAGCATTGTTTCTGCCGTCTAAGGGCGTAGTCTGGGGCTGACCATTTGCCTACCTGGCCCAACCTAAATTGAGGAGTCACCCCCTCCCGAAATAGAGTTTCGCACATAACTCAGCTGTGGTTGTGATGATGATAATGATTTTGTTTAAAACAAAATATTTTAGCGCCTTGTGGCCTAATTAAACACGCCACTACTATTTTTACAAATGCGTGGCAACGTTTGGTAATATTTACTTCCTTCAGCACAGCGTAGCAATTCTGGCTAGAAAATTTTTTCTGCTATTTCATTGGTTCAAGATTGGGCAGTCTGAAGATTACTGCACGCTCACACCCCCGGCGAACGTTCATTCTGTCACATATCAATGTATTTTTGTTGCACCTAAGAACAAAGAGTACCAATTACTAAGTCAATACCGCAGGTGGCGTGAATAAAAATAGCGTTGCACGTCTGAATAATTAAACTCATTGCATACACAAGGACATTACTGTGCCCTTGTTGTTGAAACTGCGCTTCAGTACGCATGATTGAGTATAGTTCGTGATGAGCGGATGTGCTTTGCAGCATGAAAAAACAGTCGTACTCGTAATTAAATTGATTTAATTGAGCCATTGTGTTAGACTGGCAACAAGTATATAAGAAAGTGCCATCGTTGTATGTGATACCTTACGCTCAACAAACTCTATAAAAAATGAAAGGCTTGCTGTTATGCGTTCTCATCGTTTTTCTGGTTGTTCTGTGAGTATGCTTATCGAACTTTATAAGTTTTTTAATCATTGTTCACATGCAGTAAAACGCCTCGAAAGTCACGTTGAACATGTGTGTAGCTCTCTGTGCTGTGGGCCGTAACGGACTTCGTCAGTAGTGGCCAAAAGGGAAATAAATGATAAAACTGCGATTGTCATGAAGATGAAGTGCTGTCTATGCTGCAACACGCCAGTGCCAAACTTCAGCTGTGCACTGTACATATTTCATTTGTATCACGTCCTCGTTTCTCCATCAAAAGTGCACCAAAAGTGCACCTACACAGTGTACACCAACGCATTCACTAATGAAGACGTAACAATTCATTCCAGATGGCACGGATGCGAAAGCAAAAGGAGAATGCCCAAAGGCTATAAGGAATGCCTACAGCCAAAACACAGACGAAGGCGTGAAACAAGAGTGAGTGCTTTGTTGATGGGAACTAAGGCTGATTTCCGCCATTCGTAAAACAGCTGATATACTTACAAGAGTTCAATTCTTATCGTAGGAAAGGAATGAACAACTATGTGTCAGCGTAAACAGTTGCACAGCAAGTTTCTTTAAGTAAACGCAATAGCAAAGTAATGAACATAGATAAATATGAAGGCTATATAAGAGCAAGCAGCCATCAGTTTTTACTTGCTCAGTTGGGAAGAGAACCTCAATCTTCGCACATTGAACTTAACGTGCGTCTTTTAAATTGCCACGCTAACTTCCGTATAGTCAGTGAAGCGACATTCGCAATATTGTCACGGGTCGTGACAGTGGCGGCAGGCAGAGACGACTTCTCCGAAATGAAACTTTTTTTTGGCTGAAGTTGTAGCCTGTAAACCGAGAGACTAATTACAACGCTACACACTGGCACTGATAGTGGCGAACAGATAATTGGTCGTCAACCGACTGACATGCGGTGATGGGCATTGGAATTTCTGCATGTGCCGTCGAATGTTCCAGCGTTCTCTCTAGAAGCCACGTGTGTTCCCAAACGACCTGTAATGTTCGTGTTGTGCTCATAGTAGTATCGAAAAGTCTCAAGATTTGTTTTTTGGCGTTTCTTATAGTCTATCGACGTGGTTAGCGCAAGGCAGCACTCAAACGTGTAATGGGTCTATAACAAAATTTTGCAAAGGAGCTAGCGATATCAAATATATCGCGGCCTACAGAATATTTTTGAAGCCCAACTCAGAATACCTGGACAATTTTCTTTTTTCTTTTTATTTTACGTGTGCTAAGCCACCACTTGATTTCTGGCTGAGTGAAACTGAGTCAAAGGTTCTGTAGTGTTCACATCTTTCTGAGACGCTGATGTCTCAAGCACTGCAAGTTACCACAGTCATTAGCGACATTACCTTGTAATATAAAACATCGATCGAGATGTAGAACTCCACATGGTTTCGCAAATTAAGATGCTGCGTCTACGCTGACACGCTGAGAAAACCTTTGCACGTGCGCGAAGATATCAAAGAGCACATACGATAGAGAGGACATTGTGAATTTCAGCGCTACAAAGCACAGAAGGCATGAAGAGCAAGTGCTACTTACAATTGAGGAGTTAACTATGGGATCAGGAGCCAAGCTCTGCAACCAGTCTACAACCTCTGCAAGCGACGTGAAATAAGCATTAGAGAAGATGTGTGCAGAGGCGGCGCCGCTACGGTGGTCTAGTGACTATGGTACTCGGCTGCTCACCCGTAGGTCGCGGGATCGAATCCCGGCTGTGGCTGCTGCATTTTGAATGAAAGAAGAAAATGCTGTAGGCCCGTTCACTCAGATTTGTGCGCACATTATAGAATTCCAGTTGGATCAAAATTTCCGGAGTCCTTCACTATGGCATCTCTAAAATTATGGTGCGGTTTTAGGACGTTCATCCCCACATATCAATTCAATGGGGAGAGGCGCGGCAAGCATGTCCTCGTTATCATGACATGAATGAAATCGATGTCTTGTGGTGAGAGACGATTTGCACCATAATGTACATGTATACGTGAAAAAAAGCAGTAACATAAATAAACAACAGTTTTACGTCTAGTGCAAGCTGCAAGAACTGCAGAACACTGATTAGTCTTTTTATATCAAGCGTTTATATCATGTTTACTCGTTGCGATCCATTGTGTAATGTGTTCTATCGCATATATGCCCTTTCATGCCCTTTTAGTCATTTTATTTGGTTTATTTTGTTTTTTATGTATTTTTTTCGTTTAGTTGTGTACCTGGAGCGTTACAGATATTACTGAAAATAACTACCTTTCACTGAGAAGTATTTGAATGTTGATCACGGTTCTACTTAGACCTTTCTGATCACCATTACTTACATCTTCGTGCATAAATTGTAACACCTTAGGAAAAACTAGATTTTCTTTACAATAGGCGTTTACTTTAACCGCATTGTCAAAACATCTTCACAAAAACACACAAAAAGTGACAGTGTTACATAACGAATGCGCTTACAAATGAACCCAGCATGACAAATAATTTGAAGTTGATTTTGTGTGCTTTGGTATATCAAGTCTTTCAAACGTTCATAAGATTCGCTTGAGGCTCATTTTCTAATGCAGAGTCATATATATCAGAATATTTTTAGACTCTTTCAAAAGCTTGCATACCTATTTGTTAAAATGGCAGGTAATAAAATACGTTCAACTATCTCTTTGTTCTGAATGTGTAGTTACCACGAAATAACGCAAGTAAAGCGACCTGGGTATGTACAAAAATGGACAGCTCAGACCAAGCTACCATGATTATTTTTACGCGCACACTGGGCTACGTGCTCCAGTGCGTACATTCGTCGCGTAGAAAACTGTGAACCTTGAACCTTGAGAAGGATGGCACCAAAGAAGCGCCACAGCAGGATTTCACACTTGCAATGTGAAGCCTCAGGAGTCGTTTTCATGAACTGGCAAGCAACCGTTTGACATAGTAAAGAAAACATGTTCTTATGCACCATGTGGCTTGGATGACAGTATTTCAGTGAAATAATTGTGGAAGCGCAGGGACTGATAAAGAGAACTTAGGGCCAAAATGGCACTGTCAGTGAATAGTGCCAAAAATAGGACATTCTTCCACGCAAGCATTCAATTCGAAAAGAACTGTCACTTCTAAAACATCGTGTTCGCTGGAAGAGACAGTGTATAAAGCGCCAGAGGCCAAGTCATGATTGAAGAGCTGGGGCCGATGTTCTTCACGACAGAGCACCACTGACCTAGACAAGTAAATCAGAATCTTCAGCTGCTAGAGGGCTCGATAAATTCAAAAGACGTGTCTCGTCGGCTCTTTTTCTAAGCAGTCAGCGTTTGAAAGCGATGTCTTTTTGTCAAGTATGAAATATTACTAAGCCCAGGGTGCCCCCTAAAAAATTATAAATTTCTATCTGAAAGTAATCATGAAACTTTCTATATATACTGGTATAATGACGCAAGGTAGGCTGGCAACTATAGTAGCCAGCGTCTGAGGAGGACAACGAAGTAGTTCTGTGTGCGCGTACTCTGGTGCTCGCGTTTTTGGCCCTCGGGTTACGAATGTAAACGCCCTATTTTGTACCTGCATACCTGTGTCTTTGTGACATTTTCTGGTGGAGGTGCGGGGTACAGTAGATGATACGGTCCCCTGAGAGCCCCTTTGAGGCAAGTTCATTGAGTAGGTCAGCCGAGCTTATCCCTGTGCACGTACGTTCCAGCCATCGTCTCCAGAGACTCGAGCCACAGCACGCTTTGCTGCCTGGACGTCAGAGGACTATGAACCAAACACCGCCTAACATCACCGCGTGAGCACCAGAGCACGCGCACACAGAACTACTTTTTTGTCCTCCTCAGAGGCTGGCTACTATAGTTGCCAGCCTACCTTGCGTCAATATACAAGTATATATAGAAAGTTTCATGATTACTCACCCCAGACCGTAAGCTACGCTATGTGTACTGCTTCCTGGAGCACTCCGCGAAAACGTGTTTTGAGAACCATGAAGCAGCGCTTACGTCATGGGATGAGTTTCACCAGCAGTTCCTCAAGGCGTTTGCCCGAGAGGACAGGAAAGAGACAGCGGAGCGTGCTATAGAGGCAAGGGTTCAAGGCCCTAACGAAAGGGTGACGACTTACACAGAGGACATGAATAGGCTTTTTAGGCGTGCGGAGCCCTTTATGTCCGAATTCAAGAAAGTTCGCCACCTAATGCGTGGTGTTAAAGAAGAGATTTTTGCCAGCCTGAATTGAAACCCGCCTGCCACACTTGCGCAGTTCCATGAGGAAGCCACTGCCATGAAGAGGGCCCTTCAACAGCGTGCCAGGCAGTATAACCGTGGCGTACAACCAAGTGAGGTCACTTCTGTCACTCTCGGCAATCACATCAGCGCGTCGTGAGAGCTTATCAGAGCTCTCATTAAGGAAGAGCTACAAAAGCTGCAGGCGACTGCTTCACCTGTAGAGCAGCTCTCCATTGCTGAGATGGTACGCGCCGAGCTACGGCAAGCCGTTCACGCTCCCCAACCGTCCGAGGCGCCACAACAGAGGCACTGCGTCGAGATTAGCTACGCGGAAGCAGTGCGCCGTCCTCCATTGTGCTGTTCAACCAGCGTATTTTACCCCAATGAGCAACACGCTGAGCAAATAAAGGTAGGCTTCCGTCCTCGCAGCTCACCGTTGATCGCTGAAGCAAGACCGAGAAAGAGTTACATTTGGCGTACACCCGACCACAGGCCCCTTTGTTTCCACTGCGGGGAAGCGGGACACGTCTACCGAACATGCCCATACCGTCGTGCGGGTCTCCATGGATTTTCGCCTAATGCCCCTCGTCCACGACCTGGCGAGCGACCACTGGAAATAGAGAGTTTCATCTCGAATCGTCGCAGTATCGAACATCGATCGCAAGAGCCTCGCTCGTCGTCGCCTGCTCGATACAGGTCACCGAGCCCAGCCAAGTCACGCAGCGCTCCGAAACGCCGTTCACCCAGTCATGCAAGTCGGGAAAACTGAGTTCAGCGACCTCCGGAGGTGAGGCCGCTGACACTGACTCTACGGAAGATCCTCCACTACGACTGACGGCGATGGCAGCAAAAAGATGTACAGACAAAGTCAAATGTGGTACGAAGAGTGGTGACATCAAACATTGCGGTAACTGTGGACAACGAAGAAGTAATGGCGCTAATTGACACTGGAGCAGACACTTCCGTTATGAGCATGTGGCTTGCCTGCAGGCTGAAGAAGGTTTCCACCCAGTGGGCTGGGTCGCAGATACGTACGGCAGGAGGCCATCTTCTCACTCCGGTGGGACGTTGCACAGCGCGAGTCAGTATTCACGGATTCACGTATCTCGGAGATTTTTTAATACTGCCGAGTTGCTCGAGGTACCTAATTCTCGGACTGGGCTTTCTGCGTGATAATGGAGCTGTGATTGATTTGCAAAAGTCGCAGGTGACGTTTTCGACGGCACACGCTTTAGCGCGCAACCCTCACGGCAGTTACGTCAATGCTTTGAGAATTGTTGACGATGACGTCACGTTACCGCTGAAGAGTAGCGTGTTGACCTTGGTATCCTGCGACATTTTTGATGAATTCAACGACTATGAAGGTATTGCAGAGGCAAATATCCCGCTGCTGCTAAATGAAACATCTGCTTAGCCTGATGCCTTGTTCGGTTAGGGAATAAACGCACTCTAGTTTTGCTGACCAACTTCAAGAATGAGTTTCAACACGTCCCTAGAGTAACTCATGTCGCTTTCCTCAGTGAAATCGCCGACTTTTCTAATATCGGCACATTGGATATGACTTCACCACATAAAAAAGCTTGTGCTGACCTGGGAAGCCGCATTCACGTTAATCCAGACTTGCCAGATTCACGAAAAGAACGGCTGCTAAACCTTGTGAGGGAATTCTAGGACTGGTTCTCCACAGCATCGAAAGTTCAGCGTACCACCGTTACAAAACACCGCATTATTACCGAGGAGTCGGCGAGGCCTCTTCGCCAACATTCATACCGTGTGTCCCTGAAGGAAAGAGAGGTGATTAAGCGTCAAGTTCAAGAAATGTTGAATGATTATGTCATTCAACCCTCGACAAGTCCGTGGGCGTCACCTGTTGCCTTAGTAAAGAAAAAAAGACAACACGCTACAATTCTGCGTCGACTATCGACAGCTTAACAAAGTCACAAAACGCGACGTTTACCCCCTGCCATGGATTTATGACGCCTTAGACCGTCTACGCCACGCCCAGTTCTATACATCATTAGATCTCAAGTCAGGGTACTGGCAAATTGAAATTGACGAGGGTGACCGTGAGAAAACCGCGTTCGTGACGCCTGACGGGCTCTACGAATTTAAAGTGCTGCCTTTCGGCCTTTGTTCGGCTCCCGCCACGTTTTAACGCATGATGGACACTGTACTATCTGGAATAAAGGCGCAGACGTGTCTTGTATACTTAAATGATGTCGTTGTGTTTTCAAGCACGTTTGACGAGCATATTTCAAGGCTAAAAAGGGTTCTCACTGCAATAAGGAGAGCGAACCTTACTTTCAAGCCCGAAAAGTGCTACTTCGGCTATCAGGAACTCAAGTTTCTTGGCCACGTGGTGAGCCCGGGGGGGTGTTCGACCAGGTCTTGAGAAGTTGGCTGCCGTTGCCGATTTCACTCGTACTGGAGACAAAAAGGCTGTTTAGCAATTCCTCGGACTCTGTGCGTACTACCGGCGTTTTGTCGAAGGATTTTCAAAAATTGCGGAACCTCTTACAAGACTGACACGGCCAGATGTGCCTTTCGTATGGACGAAAGAACAACAACAAGCCTTCGTAGAGCTACGCAATCGACTGCAGACCGCTCCAGTGCTGGCACATTTCGATGACAGTGCCGACAACGAGATTCACACAGACGCCAGCAACGTAGGAATCGGAGCCATACTAGTTCAATGGCAGAACGGCACAGAGCGTGTGATTGCTTACGCGAGCCGCAGTCTCACAAAAGTAGAGGCTAATTACTCTACCACCGAAAAAGAGTGCCTAGCAGTTTGGGCCATTAGCAAGTTTCGACCCTACCTATACGGCCGGCGGTTTCGAGCGGTCAGTGACCACCATTCTCTCTGTTGGCTTGCCAATATACGGGATCCATCAGGCCGCCTCGCCCGCTGGAGCCTCCGCCCTCAAGAGTACGGCATAACGGTGGTCTACCGATCAGGACATAAGCATACAGATGCTGGCTGCCTGTCTCGTGCTCCTATTTCCCCGACGTCATCTGACACTGAACAAGATTTGCCGTTTCTTGGCATCGTCGATGTGGTGCGGATGGCTGAGCTTCAACGTGAGGACACTGCGCTATTTCTTGTCATCCAGCATCTTTAAGGAGAAAACGTTATCGTCCCACGCCGGCTCTCGCGTGGTTTAACAACGTATTGTCTGCGCAACAATGTTCTCTACAAGAGAAATCTTGAGAGCAGCCAGGAAACTTTCCTCCTCACCGTTCCAACGGCACTGCGTGAGGAAGTTTTGCAGGCGTGCCACGACGATCCTTCGGCCGGTCACTTAGTCTTTGCTAGGACATAAGCGCATTCGGCAGAAGTACTACTGGTCACAGCTGTATTCTTCCGTTCAGCGCTATGTCCGCACCTGCCGTGACTGTCAGAGGCGTAAAGTTCCACCCGCAAAGCCCGCCGGTTTTCTTCAACCTTTAGATCCACCTCGAGCACCATTTCAGCAAGTGGGAATGGATCTTCTTGGACCCTTTCTTACGTCATCCCTAGAAAATAAGTGGATAATTGTCGCAACCGACTATCTGACTCGCTATGCAGAAACCAAAGCTGTGCCTAAGGGAACTGCAGTTGAAGTCGCCAGATTCTTTGTCCGCGACATTGTTTTGCGCCATGGTGCACCTGCTGTTCTCATAACCGATCGCGGAGCAGCATTTACAGCAGAGTTATTGCAGCAAGTCACCAAGCTGACGCACACCAACCACCGGAAAACAACAACTTATCATCCCCAAACGAACGGTTTGACGGAGAGGTTAAACAAAACACTGGCCGACATGCTATCAATGTGTGTTGATGTAGAGCACAAAACGTGGGATAGAATTTTGCCGTACGTCACGTTTGCTTATAACACCGCTGTGCAAGATACCACAGACCTAACACCAATCGAGCTTGTTTATGGCCATCGCGTCACAACACCGTTAGACGCTATGCTCCCCGCAGACCAAGACACCAGCGGAAATGACAGCGTTGACGACTTTGTCGAGAAAGCCGAGGGAGCCTGACAGCTTGCATGGAACCGCATTCGCGCGCAGCAAGATATCGACGCTCACCGTTACAACCAAGGCCGAAGGAACGCCCATTATCAACCAGGTGACTATGTATGGGTGTGGAACACAGTTCGACATCGTGGGCTTTCGGAGAAGCTATTGCGACGCTACTTTGGCCCTTACGAAGTTGTGCGCTGCCTCAGTGACGTGAATTACGAGGTAGTTCCCTAAAGATCCGACACCAGTTTAAACCGAAGACGTCCACGTCCAGAGGTAGTCCATGTAGTATGGATGAAACCGTACCACGCCCGCGAGTTATGACGATTTCGAACTTTTTCCTTATTATCCACAACAGCGTGGGCTTTTTTTTGTTGTTGACGCGATGATTTTTGTTTTCATGGCTACCTCTAGCATCTCAGTCAGTTGACCGGGACGGTCACTCTTGAAAAGGGGGAATTGACGCAAGGTAGGCTGGCAACTATAGTAGCCAGCCTCTAAGGAGGACAACGAAGTAGTTCTGCATGCGCGTGCTCTGGTGCTCACGTTTCTGGACCTTGGGTTACGAAAGTAAACGCCCTATTTTGTACCTGCATACTTGTGTCTTTGTGACAATATTACGTAAGAAATATCTGATAACGGAGTGATGAATCGCTGGAATGTAACGTGTTTTTTCATGAACAACTCTAAGAGGCAAGAATATCCGTTCATCTTGTGATACAGATTTGGTAAAGATAAGCGTAATTGTTAGATGGCTTTCACCTAAAACTTCTTCCGTCTGTCTCGTGTTTTCCGCTGAGTTTTGAGTGCCTTACTTCATCTAACATATGTTTGAAACAACGACTATGCAACGCATTTTAAAATGAAATTCACTTTAGCACATTGATAGCAAAGGTATGCTTTTTATCAATTTTAACAGTGCGGCCGCTACAACCTTGCTGAGGGATGTATTCTGTTATGCTGTTCGACTTAAATTCCTTCGCACGACGCCAATTCTGCAATGTTGAAATGTATCTAATATTCGAAAAATACGTCTTCTTTCTTACAGCTTGAAAGACCTCTTGAGAGATCTTTTGACTCCAATTCGGACGATGACTCTGATTTGGAAGATGACCCGAACGTAAGTACACTTATTGTTAATGGCGGAGATGTGTCAAAAATATGCAAATCCTGCCTGCAGGGTTAATATGGTGGCAATATATTTTTCTGGCGAATCAATTTGATGCTGAAACACATGGGCCAATGTGTTAAATGCATACCGAAGCAATGAGAAATGTCTACGTAAATTCAAATACTACTTTGGACCTACCTGTACAATATTAGTAGACAACTACGTACATCGGCTCTATTTTCTTGGTAATTCTATGCTATTGATTATAATGCTATATTAAAGAAGATTTCTATGATCTAAGTAATGCATCATAAATTACTGTGTAACAAGGTTTCTAATCATTTGCGATTGCGTTTGAAGCTTTTCTGCTTACGTTGAAAACTTCGCTCTCCCTCTAAAAGAATTCGCAATAAACCTTGAAAAGAACCACACTAAGAGTAAGCAGGAGCACAAGAAAAATAGTTCTGCTTATTACACCCAGTAAAAACTCAGAAAATTGTACCTCTTTTTCCACAGTTAAAATATTTTCTTCATGAAATATTTGTACAAGCCACATCTATCGCTACAGAATGTACAGAAGTTAGTTAACGTGACATTGTGTCGTTAACTACTGCTATCTTTACGGCCCATGTTAAAGATATAAGGAGGAATGAAGAAAAGGCGTTGTTATGAGAAAACGTTAGCGTACTCGAAAGCTTTACTGCCAAACGTGTTGTCAGACAACTCAATATGCATACGGAAACATACCTAAATCAAGGCAACAACAGTAAGGTTACCAGGAGAGTGGGAAGTGCTCACCCTTGCAAGAAGCTACTGCTGACAGAGATAAAATTGAAACTCGTGAAGAAGTTAAAAAAGCCGCGAGAAGATCACGCATTATATGAGGTGGCAGTAAAAAAGCATCATTATCAGCAGCAGCCTGAAGAGACCTCCTGCCGGGCATAAGCATTTTCTATGTTGCAGCAATTCACCCAGTTCTGTGCTTTCTGCGGCCACCTTATACCTCCTAACTTCTTAATCTCATCGGCCTATTTCATTTTTCCTCAGCAGAGTGCATAAAGAAACAAACAGTAGTCAAGAACATCATAGCTGACTTAAGTGGCGATGAAGAGTAGTACTCATTACGTTTTTTATCATCAAGGAATGAACAATCTTCTCCCTTATCTTCTGCACAGTTCACGATTTATTCCGTTAGAAATAGGATTGACAGGTTAGGAAGTTTCAGTTGATTATTCAGTTGTCATCACTCCACTCCGTGGTTGCGCGCACACACAAACACCTCTCTCGGCCTTCTACACGCACACGCTGGCACTTTTCTGGTCTCAATTCATTCGCCCCGCAACCTCCCGTACCTTTCCATCTCATCAGACTAAGGTGTTGTTGCGCTTTTTGCGAATACAGGAGGGGGGAAATAATTTATCTAATAAAAATAGAACATTTATTAATATTGCTAGATGACGTACGGTGCGGCACCAGCATGATTATATTTCAATTCATTCACGCGAGAGATAAAAGCAGCCCAGCCCACATTACAAACGATGGTGATCATTACAATGGTTTGGATATACAGGTGAATGTGATGAAGTACAAAGCGCTGATACTGTTTTCATACCTTCGCAAAAGTGGGTGGCGAGTTTGAAAGAGTGAGAACGCCAAATGTATGATTTCAGACGAGAGAAGTGAGCGACCTCAGTAAGGCGGTGACGGCGATCAGGAGACGTGCTGACAGGAGAGCACTGTAGTTGGCGTCAGATGTTTGTTGCAGCATGGTGTATGGACCAATATATTTATGAACAAGTTTTAGCAGAGCCGTGTTGCACGATCAAACGGTCTTCACTACCTGGGTGGAGCAGAAAAACTTGACGTTTCACATCAATATCAACTTTCCTCTTGTCCTTATTGCCTGCAGTGTTGGTGCAAGCGATTTCCTGGCAGCGGGCGACGCGAGTAGCGAGCCCTTCTGGAAGAGACGAACATGAAAGACAGGATGTAGACAAAAAAGTGGTGTCCACAAAAATATCGGTGCAGCGTCATACACGAGCAAAAACTGACTGCAGTTCGTCGCACGTTGTATGGCGGTATTATATGGTAACATGACGGAAAAAGTAGTTTTCCCGTTGTTTTTTGTCATATGGCTGGACGCCTATCTAGATCATCCCCTCATTATATCGGACAAAGTTCCGTGAAAACGTTCTCTCAGACCATTTATTTGTGGATATTAGGCGTATGTGGTCTTGTGGATGGTGTTACAAGCCTGAAGGACTCCAGCAAGAACATGAGAAAGAAATGTTTTGGCACGGTCACTAAGAAGTAGACGTGGGGTGCCATGGCGTAAAATAATGGCGCACAGGACGAAATCGGCAACTTCATAGCAAGCACCAGAGGGAAGCGCTGCCTCCTCTGGGTAGCGAGTAAGATGGTTCATGGCAGTAATAATCCAATGATGACCGTGGGGCGCAAGGGGAAAGGGTGCGTATAGGTCTATGCCCACAAATTCGAAGGGAGTGGTCTGGCACAGTAGAGATTGCGATGGCCTCGCAGGAAGAGACCTGGTATTTCTTGGTGACTGACATGACGTGCAGGAACCAGGGTATTCGGTGACACATCTTGGAAGGCCAGACCAAAAGCAGCGAGTATTGATGAAGTTGTAAGTCTTGAGTAACCCGAATTGGCCAGTCGTCAAGTCGTCATGAAACGCTAGTAAAACTTGCACACGAAGTTAGCGAGGAACAACAGGGACCCATTGGTTCTTGGTAAACGTGAGGATTGTAAATTTTCTGATATATTGTTCCATCTTGAAGCTTTAAATGTGCAAGCTGCCGTCTTAAGTAGCTGTTTGGAGCACGAAATAAGCCAACGAGCCGATCGAAAATTGTACGGCAGTAGGTATCAACTTTTGGAGCGAAGCAGAATCTATGAACGAAAGAAGGTCCGCCGAGGCAACAAAGTCTTTCACAGCAACAGCCGTCTCCGTGATTACTTGCCTGGATGGTGACGAACATATTGAAGGTGGCACTTGGGCGCTTGGCGAAAGTAGGCGACGCGACAAAGCGTCGGTATTTTGCTGTTGCCGACCCGCCCGATAAGAGAGGCTCTAGTCATACTCGTGCAATCGAGGCACACAGCGGCCAAGGTGTCCAGCTAATTTTTGAGAGATGATAACAAACACAGAGCATTATGCTCACTAACAATTCCGAAATGCCGGCCGGTAAACGAAGGGCGAAACTTTTGTATAGACCACACGATCGCGAGACATTCTTGTTTGGTGATGCTGAAATTTCGCTGAGCAGGAGAAGGGGTATGGCTCGCGTAGGCCATGACTTGATCATCTGAAGCGTGGTTAAGAAGGACAGCACCGATGCCAAGTCCGCTTGCGTCAATGTGTAGCACAGTAGGTGCTGCAGGGTGGAAATGGCGAACTACTGGCTTTGATTTAAGGCATCACTTGGGAGAATGGAACGCGACTTCACAGTCATCCTAGTAGACAAAGGGTGCGCTCGCGCTCTGAAGTTTGCGCAGAGGAGCGGCATTAGTGTCGAAATCGTGGACAAAGTGGCGGAACTACAAGGCTAAGCAAAAGAATCTGTGAAGGTCTTTGGGTGTGGTTGGTGTAGAAAAGTGCAGTACCACGGCAACCTAGTCGAGATTGGACTGAACGTAATGTACTGACGACGTGACCTAATACCTCCATGCTGTGCCTGGCAAACCAATACTTCTTGGTGTTGAGCTCAAGAGCGGCCTTTGCTAGACACGTGAGAACTTGGCCTAGGTTGTTCAGGTGCTAGCTGTGAGAAGTTGTACGAAGAGATGGCAACGTCATTCACATAGCAGACCTAGGTCTTCCATTTTAGTCCACGCAGTACCGTAACATTCATTCGATTGTTGCTAGCGTCAAAAGACATTACTTTATTTCAAACAACCCATCTAACGTGGCCACCGCAGTCTTGTCTTTATCAAACTCGTTCATCAGAATCTGCCAATAACCAGAGTGATAGCCGTGACTAAAAAGTAATCGGAACCTTTTAAATTATCAAGAGCTTCGTTGAAACCACGCATCAAGTTAACGTAATTACGGGGGCTTAGTTGAATGCTATATTTTTCTGTCCCAAACCACCCTGAGCCATTTTTTCTTTTAAACTAGCATGACACAAGAGCCCATGCATTTGTGGATGGCCTGATAACGTGGAGCGAGAGCATGTCCTTGGTTTGTTTTTCTACGGCCTTTCCTTCAGAAGCTGACACGCGGCAAGGGTGGTGGGAAATGATGCGAGATCCGTCGGCGTCGATACGATGAGTGTCCAGTGTTGTTTGACCCTATTGGCTTGAAAAAAAAATATGAAAGCACGTTTTGTGTTTCAATATTATAATCAGCAATGCACAAGGTTGTGTTGGATTAAGATGTTTGAAAAAAAGGGAACCTGAGAGTAAAAGGTGAACACTCCGTAGGTATAGACTTTGAGAATGAAAAAGCAGATTAGCTAGTGACTTGATATACCAGTGTTTTCTCGGTAAGCCTTGCATTATTGGTCCGATCGGGCAGCAGTAGTGATTCTGGCGCTGTGTTGTAGGTAGTGATGCTTGCATAAGCACGTGATAACTGCACTAGAAAAGACACAATGGCGATCCCTCAAAAAACGTAGCGCTGGCAAGAAAAAACTGCGACGTCACTGTCTAGAACGTCGCGTGACTTGATCGTGAAAATGTGTTCTTGTGTAGGAGGCAGGACTTGACAAGTTAGTGCGACGAAATGTTGGCAGCAGAAGTAAGCTCAGTGTCCGTAATACGAATGACGGGTCAAGCACACGAAGTGTCAACAGACGCTGCTGCCAAAGAGTCCCAGCATACGATTATCTGATGGGCGCACGAATGGAACCAGCCTCTTCTTACATACATTTATTAAAAAGAAAAGGCAGCACAGGCAACTGCATTATAACCCGAGTGGTGCGCTGTGCGGTCGGGTAAATTAGGTGGTCATTAGTGCCGCATAACATGGGACCGATATAAGCAGT